CCATATTGCGCTGCTGTCTGGGGCATTTGCTCAATGGCTTGTATAGCAATACAATTTGCTCAAAGTCAGGATCCCAATCTCTCATGCCCAGGTGTTGCGTCTATGCAGCCGCCTTTGGTCTCAAATGAAATTGCATACATACAGCCACAACCCCAATGCCAGCTGTTTGATGCACACAATGCTTCATCTCATCTCATCTCATCTCATTTCATCCACATTGGAAGTTCCATTTTCCTATGCTCTCTAGCTATATGCCCATCTCCAAATCAAGACACTCTTCCACACTCCACCATTGAGACCATACAGTATAGGTATTCACCCTCACCACATAGAGCTTGAATCCCCCATTCCTTCTCCATGTTCTGATAGGCAATGATCCAATTGGCATGGCTCTGATCTGTCAGATCTCTCATCAAGCTTTTGCAAAAATAATAGCTGCTAGCTCTCATGATTCCCACACAGAAGTCCATCAACCATCATCTATCAGCAAGTTCAGGACATCACATCATACATCATCAGATCATCACCTCTATGAGGGGGACCTTATCTCCAAGACCTCCAATCTCAATGAGTCCTCAATCTCCAGCAACTGGGCTTGCCGGGCTCTTCCCCGGGAGGGGGGGGGGGGGAAAAAAACAAAAAACATTGCTCGCGGGATTGGGCAACCAATTTTTTTTTTCCCCCCCCCCCCCCAGAGAAGCCCAGGCCCAGGCCCCAGTGGCTGGAGATTGAGAACTCATTGAAATTGGAGGTCTTTCTGACCAGATCTCCCTCATAGAGGTGATGACCTGATGATGTATGATGGGATGTCGTGGACTTGCTGATAGATGATGGTTGAAGGACTTCTGTGTGGGAATCATGATAACTAGTATGTTTGAATAGGATTGATGAGAAATTTGGCAGATTACAAGTCGACATTTTTGCTAGACACGTTCTTCTAAACAACTAACATCTTCAAAAAAACGCAGAAAGCCACAAATCACAAAAACGCGTAAAAGCCACACCCGCATAACTTCGTTTTCTGGAAATAGACCACGACCTTTTGAAGGAAATTTATCAAAACATTTTTGATAAACAATTAGTCAGAAAACACGGTGAAGTGATACACAAACGGGGAGGAATGAGAGCACTACAAAACAATTATATACTATTCACTATTGACTGTGTCGGGTCATTTGGTTCAGCAACGAACTGTGGATAGAGATACAATCATTTTAGTGTTCTACAACATCAAAACGATTGTATCTGAATATTGGGATGGAATAGGAAAGGATGAAAAATGGAGACACTGATTAATTCATAATATCTTAACTAAACATATTATGAACTAATCCTTCAAACCCAGAACCCCAAACATAAAACACAACAAGCGTAAACAAATCTTAACCTCATCCATTATCACCAAACAGAGTGATTTTTAGCACCAAATTTTCCCCAGAACCCCCCACACATAAAACATCAACAGCAAGGAAAACACATTGAACATCAACAAAAAATCATAACAAGCAACACACCAACAAATCCTCCCCAGAACTCCCTTTTTATAATTTTTTTGGGGGTGGAGAGGCCTCTAGTTTTGTTTGCCATACTTTTTTTTTGCACATGTTTGACATCCCTTCCCTGCGAGGAGGCTGGTGCCCACCGGGCTATGTGGCTAGGATTGGCAAGTGGAAAGGGGGTCCTAATCACAACAGCCTCCACAATGAAGCTTGATAGAAAGGACTACTATGTTCATTGTGGATCTTTGTGAGCGGTGCTGGGCAGACATTTTCTGGATTCAAGCTGACCATGTGTTCTCCCTTGTTGCAGCTTAGGTGGACGAGAAAGGTCCCATTGGCCCGCTGGCAGAAACATGGCACTTGAAAGCTTTGCCTGCTGATGTGTGGGAGGAACACAGAGGCCAGGACAGGACCATTCTCCAGAGAGGGCGCACCCCTTTTATGTCTCGTTTTGCCGCCTTGGCTTTGGCAGGGATGCAAACACTCCAAGACAAAGAACAATCCTGCACATGAAGTGTTTGCAATTGGCTTTAGCCGGACGCCCGCAATCAGCGCAGGGTTCTTTGAGTCTCTCAAGCTCTCTTTCAACAACACTGATATTTGGGCCCAACGGACCTTGATGAATGTGCTCGATAGTTCAGGTGTCTTGCCAGAGCTAGCAGAATATTAATATTCATGCAGTGTGTTAAATTTTGCATTGGGTAAGGTTCTGCTGATTTTTTCTCCCTGTTCTTCTAGTCTTGCAGATGTTTTAGTGCGTCTTGTTTGTCGGACTTCACTTAAACCTTGGATCCACCGGCGTCAACAGACAATTCAGCTCATGATTCATGATGTCATGGACTAGCAAATGAGCTTGAACCTACACAGGCCTAGGTCCAGTCACAAACTGGCCACAGCAAATGCGTCTTATCATTGGCCCAAGGTCTGAGGATGTCTAAGGCTGTCTAAGGTCTCGGCATTTCTTCACGGGTCTGAGCCTGTGATCTGAGGCACCCTGACGATTCTACCAGAGGCGACCACAGATCACACCAACCTGGGCATCGATGCCACAATGGCCATGAAGAAGCCGTTACTGGTACTGAGAAGCTTTGATCCACATGAGGGAACATTTACCAAGTGGCTCCAGGACTGAGCGTACATCAGGGATGCAGGCAAGCATCTTTCGTGGTACGCCTCGGCGCTTCTTTGATCTTTGCGGCTTTCCGAATGCAGACGATTTCTGACGTTTGCTCCTTGGTTTGCAGGACAACAACGTCCAAGTTCTGAACATTAATGGCCCGCGGGAGTCATCCATTCCTGGCATCAATGCAGAGAGTACCCTGTTTTTGCAAACTTCTATATAACATGGCTGCTTTACATCTCTTGACTGAACATTTCACCAAGAACGAAAGAGGCGAAAAGGACAAGCTGGATCAAGTTGTGTTTTGCTGGATTCATACAGTTCCTGAATCAGAACATTCTGTCTTTCTGTGAAACTGGAAGGAGAGGTGAGAGTCCTGCTTGACTTCATTTTTTTTGTGTCGCTTGAATTTTGCAAGGCAAAGTGCTCTTTGAGAGGCTCTTCAGAAGGGCTCTGCACTAACTTTCGCTGTACAAGCTGCAAGCCTTGCTGGTCTTAGGGGGATTTGCTCGTCTTAGGTGACCGACATGATCCTTGGGGCACGTGTCTTGTGCCCTGTACAGATGTTCAGTGGAGTATGCGCCTGTCTGCGCTTGTCATTTCCCGGAGACTGATATGTCCAGTCAGCTGGGCCTTCAGCGGCGTGCAATTGATGTTGTATTCAGCAGCCAGCTTCTAGAGTGTCAGACTTCCTAAAGCAGTATCTGCAAAAAACAGATATGGTTGCTGTTTTCTGGTCCATGATGTTTTTAAGGATTCAATGGCAAAATGCACACAATTACAGCAGACATTGCTTGCTGGCCACAGCGTTTTGTACAGCAGAAAGCTGTGCCGAGTCAGACTATTTGCTGGCCCACTGGCATGAATGAAAGTGACATGTGAGTATTGAATATTGAACAGTCTTCATTGAGATTGGTTGACGTCACAGACATTGAATCTCCCAGGAAGCAAGAAGAGCGTGAGCGAGAAAAACTTGAACGCGAAGCACGAAAGGAGGCTCACTTACCATCCTCAGTCACGTGTTCTCTCACATGCTTGTTAGGTTTGTCGTGTTGGGATGGATCTTTTGCTTCATTGCATTTGGTTGTGTTTTTTTCAATCCAGTTTGGCAAAAAAATATGGATAGAGTTTGAGAAGAGTCTGAATGAGAACGAGTCATGGGCTTGCTTTTTGAGTCTCTTGGCGTCAGAGACGATGGAGTCTCTTTTCCAACACTTCAAGCGGGCCGAACCGCCACGTATGAGGCCGAGCGGCAAGAGCGAGAACGCCAGAAGCGCATGGAGGAGGTGAGGCCTCTTTTGAGGAAGAGTCTAAGAAGACCAGGGTCTTATGGTGGGTCAGCAGATTGAGTTCTACATATCGACAAATGGCTTCCAATAGGTTCTTAGAGAGGAGATGACTTTTTTGTCAATTTGGGTTACATACATAAATTAACTTTGTAGGCCAACCTTAAAAAGTGTTTGTATGACTTGCGTTGTGGTGTCTTCAGTCCCTGGCATCTTTCCATCGAACGCAAGGAGGTCCGCTTCAGCGGTACCCCTATGCTTTCAGTGCCACCACTCACTCAATCTTTCCAGTTGGCATCCATGTTGCTGCGACTCAGAAGCCGTGCAGGAAGAGCGGGAAAGGAGGGAGCTTGAAGAGCAACTTGAGCGTGAGGTGGGCAAGGGCTGGGGAGGGGGCAAGCAGTGAGTTATGAAAACCGCTTTTGGCAGGTGGTAGACATGATCATGATCATGTCAGTGGTGTCAGGCCTCTATGTGTATTTGTTTTTTCTAGGATCCTTTTTTGGGCAGGTTCCCCGGCACTGAGGGTGGGACCATCCGACCAAGTCACCTTGCAATTCTGGGCCGGCAACTAGAGGCTGCCCGGACCATCTCCTGCAGGAACGGGAGCGGCAAAACGCCCGGCGAGAAGCAGCGGAGAAAGCTGCGCAAGAGATGAAGAGGCTCCCCTAGCGAAGCAACAGAACAAGCAAGAGTTAGTCCTGTTGGTATTCTGCTCGTGAACCAACCTTGAAACGGTTCCGCTTTCTTTCAAAACCATCATGGAAGCTTCGCTTCTTCTCAGGGGTTTGTGGCTGGGATTTCTCTTGAAATCTGAAAAAGTGGTTGAGGGAAGATCTTAATTTCGCACCAGGGCGTGGGATCAGCCACCAGCAGAGGCCTCAGCGGAATAGTTCAGGCTTGCAAGCAAGTGGTGAGCGCATAGTCACACAGCTTTGGTCTCTGTGTGATCGGACTCTTTGCGACAGACACGTCCGCCTAAAATACAGCCTCACAATCGCTGTTGTAAATCTGTAGCTACTGTGCGTACGAAGAAATGGAATCGGGTGCGAGCAAGAAGTCCAGAAGCAATCCCCTGTGTCCTCCTGATTTCAAAGTCCTGTGAGATATGTCCAATGTGACGTATGCTATGCTTTGTTTACATGGTGCTGTGCTCTCAGCAATCTTCATTGGACCCGCTGAGGCGGAGGCTTCTCCCTCGCCGGTGCGTGTCCCGCGGGTGGTGGCGCCCGTACCACCCGTGCCCGTGGTGGTCACACCACCTGCACCTGTGATGACTCCCTTGATGCAGGCGTGGTTTGAGACACTGTGAATCCAAAAGCATCCAGCACAGAGAACCAAGGATAGGTCGGACAGGTGGAACGCCTGATAGATGGATGAATGAGAATGTAGGAATACACACCAGGGCTTTGACAAAGCACAGTGTGATGATTGGCACGTCTCTAACACATTTGCGTCTCGTGATGTTCCTTGAAGTGTTCTGCTGTTCTCGGGTTTGAGTGTGACTTCAATCAACGCCCAGGCTCAAGCTGCGGGTGCCAACATTGCCGCAGCGTTCCAATCTCAATAGAAAGATTGCTTCAGGCTTATGCCAGAATGCTTTTTCAGATTGGTGACTGAGGCTGATGGCCTCACATCCTGTTCACGGCTCAATGTGAGTATGGATTATTTTCATTCATTGCTTACACTTCATTGTTTGATCAAGCTCTGCAAGAGTATCTGACTTTAGACAGTGATTGCCTGCAGGCACCAGGAGGTGCGACTGGGGTTCGCTTCAGATTAATGATGCTTGTGAACTGGAAACCGGCGTTTTGATTCGAGGCCAAAGTTGCAATATGTTTCCAACCTTTTTGTTCTTCTCTGTGCCAGGTGAGGAGAGCGATGTGACCATCCATGTCCAGGTTCCAGCGCAGCGTGCCTGAGCCCTGGATGCGGCCGATGCGTCGATATGGATTTTGAACGAAGGGAACGAGTGGTTTGTGTGGAAATGCATTTTTCTGTTACTAGTAGCTTCTTGTTCCTAGATGTTCCTAGTAGTAATTGCCTCCAACCCCGTTAGTGATGACCTCCACCTAGTAGCTTCTTGTTACTAGTGTGGAAATGTTATTTGGACCGGATGTCCATGTGCAAGGTCAAAGATCTCCTGGGCGTTCAGGGAAGGAGCTGTTGGTTGGGGGGCTGGCAGGGCCTGTTGACTCATAGGAGTCATAGAGCAATCTTACCAGTCTTGAAAAGAGCTTCCCTTCGACATCGCCCATCTTTCCTTTCGGTTGGAACCACACAGGTGCGCTTGGAAGCTTCGAGGAACATCAAGGCCATCAAATCCCAGACGGGCGTTCTGAAGGTGGGTGTCTTGGACCGCAACGACCCCGCCAACGTGGAGATCGTCCGGACGCCCCAGACGAGATCGGAGTCCCGCTCCGGTCGTCCGGTTCCGGAACGGAGGTACCACGGGAACGGTGCAACGGTCCCACTTCGAACCTTCGATTTGGTGGCAGCGCGACCGCAACCATTCGTGAGAAAATAGAGAACAAAGAAAAACAATAAAAAACACAAACAACAAAACAAGAAAGAAGAGGCTTCCTCAGTCCGCGTTCAGAATGTATACAGCTGGTGAGCAGGTCTTCACACCCCACCCAAGCCGCTCCGGCTGTTCCGACCGGACACGAGCGACTGGTCCTTGGACGTACCGAGGTGGGCACCGCTAAAGCCGTGGAGCACTGTCGCTCCCTGGCCACGTGGAGCGAAGAGCAGTTTGCTTTTCTAGAGCAGTTCTTCTGGTTTGCGTCGATAGATCTAATAGGCGTTCTTGGCCATCACTTGACAAAGAACTCCAGCGGAGTTTGCTATTCGGGTTTGTATCAGTTTGCCAGCGGGGTTTGTGTGGATTTGCGGGCTTAGCCTGTTTCAAGCTCACATCCATCTTTGCAAAGAAGGGACATCCCGAACTCAACCTGTGAACTTTGGGTATAAGCCATCACCTGAATATAATCATATTGCTACATTCTGTCTGACGTGGTTCAGGTGAAGTCAGTGGTTGAAGGGGACCTCACAGCCATCGGCAACATCTCTGAGATGATGGACTGTGGGGGGGGTGGAGAACATCGTTCTTTCGGCGCCCGGCAAAGCCGTCACACTTGGGCACCGTTCATGACTATCCTCTTCGTGAGGTTGGGTGATTTCCTGAAAGAATCGCTTCCATTTGATTCTTTTGATTTGGCAAGGACACCTTTTTGTGTGTGTGTTTTTCCACGCGCGCGTATCCTTGTAGGATATTGATGCGCGCCTGGTCTCTAGACTCATTGGGCCAAAAGGTGGGCCCCGTCGGATCTCCGATCCTCCATTGGAACGGCGGTCGGGTCCGGTGGGTCGGGTCGGGTGGGGTCGGGTGGGTCCATTCGAACTGCCCACTTCCCTGGGGGAAGAAGTTGCAAGCGAAGACGATGTTGGATGATGAATTCCCCTGCAATTGCTCAGCGAAGAAGTCTGGCGCATGACGGCATGAACCAGACTTTCAGGTCAGCACATCTCTAGCATGAAGGATCAGAGCGGCGCCTATCTGGCCGTTTGGGCACCTAGTCAGCTGCAAGGACAGTAGTGTCAGCAAGGCAAGAGCTGCTTTCACCTCTTCCAGCTGCAAGGTGAAGGAAGTATCTCCGGGTGTCAACAAGGCAAGAGCTCTGGAGCTTTGGAGACCCAGCTTTTCAGAATCACCAAATGGCTAGAACATGCTGCTAGAACCTTAATCAGATGCAATGTCTTTTGCCTTCCGGAGTTCGCTGCTCTTTTGGCAGACTGAACTACCATGATTTAACCGAGATACTCGTGTTTGGTGGCAATCGCATGTAAGAGCCATGGCATGCCATGTCCCCATGGTCATGTATCCCCCGATGGGCCAATCGCAGGTGGTGATCACTGGATTCCCCGACTGTGTCGCCAGAGGCCGCGAGCTGGTCGTGCCGCCCCAAGAACAACAGCCTGGAAACAGTTGAGCCATGTTGACACCCAAAAGGGCCCTAGTAGCGTCCTTGCTACTAGTAGCGATGCCAGGAGCCCCTAGTAGCGTCCTCGCTCCTAGTAGCGATGGGCTCCACCTCTCCATGGTTCTCGCTTTTGGGCGCAGCCAAGCAGGTGAACTTTCTGAACCAGGACCACTCGATGCCCATGCCAGGCTCTGCCGAGACGTTGTTCGGAGCGAAAGAATGGTGGGAGGTTTCGAGTAGCAGAAAGTAATCCCTGGCAGAGGAGCTCAGAGGATACCCCCAAGGCACTTTTTGTGTCGTCCATGATCGGATGGCAGGTCCTCATGCATTCCCACCTCACATGCTCGTGGCTGAGCGCGAGAGAGAGAGAGAGAGAGGTGTAGCGACAACGAAATCGAGCGTTCTGTTACTTGTATGTTAAGCAGATTCTGATTCACAATTGGTACACGTCTACTTAACATGTCCGGGAAGTATGACACGTAACTAGGGGAAGACTCACCAGTATAAGCTAATTCGCACAACTCAGGAAAAAGCAATGTTGTCATGATTGTTTTTCAATGTTCGTTGATTTGCGGCATATGAGGCAGGATACCAAAGCCTCTCAAAGACCATTGACAAATGTTGCCAACCTCCTTCTTACATAGAAGTTCTTGGGCCGCATAAGTCCTAGGCCACCAAATGGGATGCACCCTTGTGGCTGTGGGCACCAGGCGACACTTTTTGCAGATTGCATGCAGTGGCTCATCCCATTCGTTTGTGTACAGTGGCTCATCCCATTTCATTGCACCTCTCTAGATAGTTGCTTGATGTTGCAGCTTGCTGGGCAGAAATTTGCTGAACTGCATGCGCGTTGTTCAAACACAAAGGCGAATTTGACCGGTCTTGCTGGCATGGCAAGTCAGGCCTAAATTGATATTTATTGATCATTATTGACTGCCTCAATTTGTCATTTGTTCAATTCGATATAGACTTCCAACAAAGATCAAATCGACTTGGCATAAGATCCAGGAACCCACAGGTTGTTTGGCCCAATTTACCAGCACGTTTGAGGAGTATCCTATTCTCAAGCTACACCAGCGCTTCCTTGCCAACAAGTGTTGTGCGCCAACACGAGCTCTCGCGGCGTCAGGCTGAAGATGGGATGCTTGGCCGACCGCCAGCCGCGATCTCATGACAGTCATACAGCCGGTTGCTGTGGCAATCCCCCGTTCGTAGCGTCCGATCGCTCCTAGTAGCGATGCCCTTGTTCCTAGTAGCGTCCTTGCTCCTGGTAGTAAGGCCAGGAGCCCCTAGTAGCGTCCTTGCTTGCCAATAGGTATGAAACTGAGACTTCCCGTCCAATTCAAGCTGAACTTGAGCCGTTAGTGCCAGGCCCCAGTACCGAATTCGGCCGGCTGGGGTCCAGGTGGGGTTGACATCCATTTCCTCACGTAAGCCGTAAGCCTAATTTGCTCTTAGTCAAGAAAGCACTCTTGTTAAGAAGTGTTATTCTTAGAAAAGAAGGAAACGAAAGGCCTAAAGGTCTTAAACCAAAAAGAACAACAGAAAGGGACACACATGGAAAGAAAAGAACAAAACAAACATAAGGCAGAACATCAAACAGCTCTTCCTTTTTAACGTAGGAATGGGTTCGTTTAGTCCACGCCTTGTTGCGCTACCTCGTTGCATTGCCTCGGAATGCAGGCAAGGGCTTCGCCAAGGCGAAACGATTCGGGCTGGTACTGAAGCAAACTGTGCTGACCGACATGACAGTCATCGGTCATGATGAGAGTTTCCTGGAACAAAAAGGTGTTGTTCGAGACATGGACAGAATACATTGCGACCTGAACAACACACCTCTGGAGCGACCTATCATTTTGGCTTCGTGGCTTCAGTGGCTTCACAGAGCTTCGTGGCTTCGATGAAAACCCCACAACGTGCCATCTCACAACATGCAGAGCAATCCGACACCGGCCGATCACCTTGCACAGGGCCCAAATGCGTCTCAAGGCGCACTGCATGTTTTGTTAAAGGACAGTTTTGGGCCCGGCAGGACTTTGCAAAGCAATGACTTGTATACTCGTACATTTGACCACGTTTTGCTCCGCCGCGTCAAACGACTTGGATGTCTTCAAAAAGTTTTGAGATGGCGACCAAACATCCTTTCCAAAGGGGGATACGCCGAGTTGCGAGTTGTTTCTACGCTCACATTTTTCTACAGCCATTGACACAGCCTTCCTACTTTGACTTTTCAGGTTTCCTTTTATGTGATAGGAAGTGCAAGGTTCTTGGTGCACAGAGTCCCTTTATGCCTTAGGGCTTCGTGAGAATTCAGAACCGTTTCTATACAGCTCGCCCCTTGGATTGATAAAAATGCTTGGCAGCCCATACTCTGAGGTTGAAGTGCCATTTTTTGGGGGATGAATGGTTTCTACTTTGCGGGTCTGTTTTGCAAATTCACGCAGTGAGCAATTCGGAGCAGGGTGTTCGCTCAGAGACTGCGAAGGGGTTTACTCAGATGAGGCTTGATGATGGTGAGTGGTTGATGAGGTTCCAAATGTTCCTCACATTTCACAAGCCTATCAAGTCGATCGGGTCGTCGGGAGGTTGGCAAAACGAGTGGCCTGAAGGTCAGTGGCAAGGACGGATCTGGTAGAAATGGTGGGCTTAGAGCTATTGTTTGACTCTGGAATACTATACTATACGACACCATTTGACACTTCCCGAAACTTGCCCAGCAACCCAAATCCTCGTTCAGAAGTGGATAGTCTTTTCTTAATGTCATGACTTGAATTTGCATCGGACAAGAAGCTCGTGGCTCTCCGGACCATTTCGGTTGTGAGGAGATTGGCCCTCACCCGCATGGCCTGATCAAGCCTGGGGTAAAGGCGCACTTTTGGTGAATGACTTGATTACTTCTGTTTCTTTGAGGTTTTGATTGGTACCTGGAGCACATGGCCGAATCCGAGTTTGTTGCTTCAGAGTTCAGCATTTTCATGCCATGCACTTCTGCAAGCTTGACAGTCAACCACTTTAAACTTATATAGCAAGGCGGAACTGGAGAGCACTCTTCCAAAGCAGACGTGCTTAAAGTGTAACAGCTTCCTGTGGAGGCAAAGGCAACTGGACCCCAATGGGTAACCCGAGCGACTTCGGCAAAGGACAGCAGCTTGAGTTGGAATACACGAAAGGCCATCAAAGCTGCTCTGGAGCAATGGTGCTGCTGCTCCTACTGCTACTGCTGCTACAACTACTAACTATTACTAACTACTAACTACTCACTACTCACTACTCACTACTCACTACTCACTACTCACTACTCACTACTCACTACTCACTACTCACTACT